GTCACTTTCAAAATCTATGTCTCAAATTTGTACAGTCTCCACCAGACTACTAAAAAAAAATTTACTAAATGGATAAAAACGTAGTCAGTCTCAACAAGAGAATTCCTTTAGATTATTAAAATAACTAATACCTTGCTACTAACTCTGGAAATTCCTTTGTAATTTGCTTTACTACATAAACAATAAACCATTCATCTTCAATGTTATCCCCAAACTTTGTCATGCCAAACATATGAGCAGGAACATCTCCTAAAAACAAGAGAAAAGCAATCATATAACCAAATAAATTTGTCAGGGCACATAAAAATGCAAGTAATCATTCAAATAAACAAACATTCATTAACTGACCATGCTGTAGGTACTATACGGGGACCTGGGGCTGCAATCCTGAACAGGATATAAAAAGCCCAGTTATGAGGACCCAAGCTCTAGACAACAGGAGATGGACCACCACGTCCTCTCAAAACAAGATGATGAACAGACGTATGCACTGGGGGATGTGAGCATAAATAATGTGATACTGAGCTATGCTCACTTGGAGGAATGACAGGAGTAAGTTGTCCAGAAAAAGAGAATAGCATGTGCAAAGGCATATAAGCATGGCAGACAATACAGTGATCTGGGAATATAAGGAAGCTAGATTTATTTTTTTAATATATATATTTTAAGATTTTATCTATTTATTTGACAGAGAGAGACAGCAAGAGAGGGAATATAAGCTGGGGGAGTGGGAGAGGGAGAAGCAGGCTTCCCGTGGAGCAGGGAGCCCGATGCTGCGGGGCTCGATCCCAGGACCCTGGGATCATGAACTGAGCCAAAGGCAGACGCTTAATGACTGAGCCACCCAGATGCCCAGGAAGCTAAATTTAGATGGAGTAGAAATTTTTTAAACAAGTGCAGTATTCAAAAATATGTAGAATTTAATACACTCTTAAACAACCCAAAGGGTCAAAGAAGAAATTACAAGGGAAATTAGAAAATACCTTGAAACAAAATGAAAACAAGCATGTAACATACTAAAAACAGTGCTAAGAAGTTTATAGTTATAAAAGATCTCAGATCAACCACCTAACTTTACACCTTAAGGAACGAGAACAAGAAAAGCTAACCCAAAGCTAGCAGAAGGAAGGAAATAATGATTAGAACAGACATTAATGAAACAGAGAATAGAAAAATAGAAAAAAATAAAGTGATTTGGTTTGTTGAAACATTACAAAATTGACAAAAATCTTAAGATTAGTAAGAAAAAAAAGGAGACGCAAGTAACTAAAATCAGAAATGAAAGGCAATATTACAACCTATACTACAGAAATAAAAAGGACTATAAGAGAACATTATGAACAATTGTACACCAACCAACTGGATAACTTAGAAGAAATGAGTACAGTCTTAGAAACACACAACCTATCAAGACTGTATCATGAAGAAATAGAGAATCTGAACAGACTGGTTACTAGTAAAGGACATTGAATCAGTAATCAAAAACTTCCCAACAAAGAAAAGCTCACTAGAGAATTTACCAACATTTAAAGAAGAATTAACATCAATCGTCTTCAAACTCTTAAAAACAACTGAAGAGGAGGGAACACTCCCAAACCCATTTTATGAGGCCAGCATTACATTTATACTAAAGCCAGACAAAGACAATACAGGAAAACTATGACTAATATCCCTGGAATACTGATGCAGAAATCCTCAACAAAATACTAACAAACTGAATTCAACACACTGAAAGATTTTACACCATGACCAAGTGGAATTTATTCCTGGAATGCAATGTAATGCATATGAAAATCAGTCAATGTAACCTACCACATTAACAGACTAAAGGTCAAACAAGCACATTGTGAAGTGTCTCAAGAGCTGCCATGGCAAAAAAAAAAAAAAAAAAAAAAAGGTAGGAAGAACAGCCCAACCAACTCTTCTCCCCACCCCAGATCTCTCTAATTTCTTCAACTAGAGAAGCTCCAATTAGAGCGTCTATTTTTATCTACCTTATATATTAAACTTCAATTTGAACTTTATCCAGAAGCAATGGATAACGTGAAGGATGTTAGGCAGAAGACTGACACGATCAAATTTGTGTTTTACAAAGGTAACTGGCAACAGTGTGAGGAACTGGAGATACTGTAACCAGAGAGGTCAGTTAGGTGGCTGCTGTGGTCTTCCAGATGAAGAGATAAAGAGCGTCTAGACTGTAGCCAACAAATGTAGAGAAGGGGTCGTATTTTAGGAGTAACCACACTAGGATTTACTGCCTGACTGAACATGGTTAAGTGAGGAGCTGAGTATAATTTTGAATTATTGACAAGCTGAATAACTGGGTGGATAATAATGTCATTAAGCAAGACAAGAAAACATTGGGTAAAAATGATTTTCTAGGAAAAAGATAAGGAGTTGGTTTTGGATGTGCTGTGCTAATGTGACGGTGTTCCTGCCAATAAATATCACGTGTTTCGGTGAATAGTGGTTCAATAGAATTAACACCAGGGAACACATTTGGCAACTGCTAGCCAAAAAATAACAGATAAACACTACATTGAGACCTAGATTGACAGTATCAAAAGATGCCAGACTCCTGATCTGAAATAAGACCCTGCATGAATAAGAGCTGTGGTCACCTATTCGCGCCTCATTTTACTAAAGCTATATGAAATGATAAAATCAGATCTCAAGCACCAACAACACAGAGTAGCTGTGAAGCAACCTCAAAATGCTTCTGAGTAGCAAATAATGGCCATAGGCCCAATTATTTCTCTTTATAAGCCAGGCAGAGCCACGTAGTTTCAAAACTATGTCAAACAAGGCAGCCTACTAAACACATGATCAGGAATGAGGAATACAGAGTAACCTCTAAAGGGAGCTACAGTTAAGGAAGCCAGATGCCTGAACCTGTTTAGTATAAGTACTTAGATACATTATAGCACAGGAAAGTAAAATTCCAAAGAACAGCCATGGTTTAATAATGTTGAGTATATGTTAGTTCTCAAGGTAATTACTATTAGAAAGCTTTCATCAAATGAATTAAAAAAATTTTTTTGATAAATTTAAGGACTTAATCAAATATAGGCAAGCATCACTCATCAAAAAAGTTCAGGTTATAAATCTCCTCACAACACTGAATCAACTATGGACTATTATAGATCACTCTTGTCAGAATTAGAAGTCATACCACATCAAAGTAAGTAAAAGAGCCTTACCTTTCCCAGGTTTATATTTAAGATTGAAAGGCTGATTCTGCCAGATATAGGGGACCAGCATAGGTGCAAACTGAGTCATTATCCTCTCAATATACTTTTGAAGAATCTCTTTGTGTTTTTCTGGGTCCCTTGGTTCATCGGGTATCAGGAATAGGTGATACTCCACAGTGTCTTCCACTGTAGCAAGCTTCATATTTTCCTCCATTCTTCTTTGAAAACTACATTTAAAGTTTCAATAATATAAACCACATAATGTAGAAAATCCAATTCTCTGAACTCTTCAACATGATTCCATTGTTTTTCAAAATTCTGTTATCCACGTTATCATTTTTTGCCTTGATCAAGTATTAGTAACACCTATTTAATATTCTTTTAATGATGCTTTTATACTTAAAATTGTTTTTTATACTTGAAATTATATTAAAGGAACTTTTGATATAATACAGTAAATGGAAATCGAGTATCACATTCCCAAATTAACTAATAGTATGCAAGAATAAAATAAAAAACGTTTGAAAAAAATAAATTAGAAAAAAGCTTGCCCTCATACTAGCACTAGTGTGTGTAACACACTTTGAGAAGCACTGCAATAACATCTTATGTTCTGCCACTAATTAGTTGTGTCACTTAGAGCACCTCAATTTCTCTTTTTGGGGCTTTTTCCTTAAATGTAGAATGAGAATGTTACTCTTTCACTTCTACATTTCTCCCCCAGTTTAAATTATTATTTAAAAGCTCTTTAGGGCAATCTCCCTCACTCTGCAGAATTTAAATCTTTTATGAATATTGTACGGCAGAGGGGAATTCAAAACCACAAAACATGGCCTATCATCTCAGACCAAAATAATTTGCCCATGGTTCTTGATCGTAGAGCTGTCCTAAAACTGCCCCTTTCTCAGGTCTGGCGCGGGGTAGCTCCGGTATGTAAGAGGAAGTAAATAGCTCTATTTTCTAAGGGTTTCCCTTACAAACAAAAGTACTAGCTTACTATTACTGCCAGATGAGGCTTGGAACAGGGAGGCACTGCACTGGATGGTCCACTGTAAGGCACAATTCGATTTTTATTCTTATTCGGTTTCTCATGGGCTAATAAAACGAGGTCGAGAGGAACCTGCATCTTCTATCCAGTCTGTCCAAATCGTTTGGCTTCTTAACCCAGAGGGACAGATAATTCCATCCACCCACCTCATAATGCCAAGCACACATTTTTATGAAGAATTTAGTCAGAACTGGAAGGGGCTTTGAAATCACTCAGGATAACTCCTTGCTGTACAAGTGAGAAAACTGGCACACAGAAAGAGGAGCGACCCCGCAGCAGAGAGCCGAGCTGGACTCTAGTGCTCTTTACTCAAACTAAGCTTCCGCCCTCCATTCGACAAAAGGAAGCCAATTCCGCTTACGATTCTCCGGCCTCCCCCACGCGTCTCCGCTGCGGCCCCTTTCCTCGACCGCCCCTCCCACCGCGTGAGCCGGTCGGGAGCTGCCAGTAGCCCAAGGTCAGTCCAGACGCCGCCCGGGCACCTGAGGCCACTGGAAGGTCTGAAAGACCCGCTCGCCCCGGAACCCCCGGTGGCGTCACTGCTGCGCGTCCGCGGCAGCATTACGCGATGCCCCAGTGCGTTCGTCACTTCCGCCCCCGCGGGGAAGCAAGCACGGCGGACTGGAGGGGTGGGGACCCAGGGAGTGGTGGCGGTCCGGAGTCTGGGCGACGGGGCGTGACGGGGCCGGAAGGTGGCGGGAGGGGGCCGGGCTGGAGCCGGCGGGAGGGCCAGGCCCGGAGGCCCCCACCCTGGCGTTCCCGCCCCCTCCACGACAGAGGAGGAAGAGGAGGATGCTCTCCAGATACACTCGGAAGGCGGTGCCGCAAAGCTTGGAGCTGTGAGTGTACTGCTCAGCCATCCTAGCCCGAGCCGGGGGAGGCTGAGGCGGGCCGCGGGCGCTCTGGCTGGGACCCTTCCCAACCAGTGCTTCTCACCTTTCCCTTTCCAGGGCGAGGGAAGGAGAATTTTCTTCGGAATTCTCTCCTCCCAGACTTGTCAGACGCTGCCCGGTCTGCCTCCATCTCCAGCTAAGGGCATGTCACTTGTGCTTTCCTAGGACTTGGCCTTCTTGGGCTGCACTTCCTGAACTCAGGGACTGGGTCTCCTATGGCATTTGTAGTTTCCTCAGTGCTTCATGCCTGTCAGTGGCCATTGACGAATCGAGAAGTTACCAATAGCTGACTGAGTGCTACAGAAAAGTTGAATATGTCTAGTGCCAGGCACCGTGCAAAGCTGATTACATGCATCAGCTCACTTAATCCTACCAGGATACAGAATAGGGAATATTATTTTGCACATTCTACAAACAAAGGTCCCAGATTTAAGACTGTAGTATGTCAAAGATTATACAGGCAGAAAGTGGTGGAGCACACAAACCTGGTGTCAGTCTGACCCTGAAGCGTTGGTCATAATCATTACACATACTGCTTCCCCATCTCTGCAGCTAAACATCAGAATCCTTAAGGATAGGTTTTGCTCTAGAGAGCAAATATTTAAGCTTAAAAACCCACCTCCCACCCCTGGTGAAGTGTTGTAATTTAGCAAGTAATGATAATGTACATTTGTTAATGCTTTATACTTTCAAAAAGACTTTCACATCTTGATCCTTGCAACAACTCTGTAAGATGTTTCAGTTTTTCAGAACATGAAATATTAGAAAGGTTATACATCCTAAGATTATATAACCAGTAGGTTTTGAGCTTGAGCTTTTTATCCTCAAATTCCAACTTTTTTTCTCTGTAGAGCTGTGTAATTTTAACATTTAAAATTAACACTTAAACATTTAAATTTTAATAAATTTTAACATTTAAAAATTAAATACTAACTATACATGGTAATAACATGCATGGAGTCTTCAGTCAATCTGGGTGTCTGGCTAGGCTCTTTTCTGGTCATGTGACTTTTCAGTGGATTACTAAATATTTGAGCATTCATTTCTGTAATATTGAACTAAGACTTTCTCTAAAAGCATATCTAAAGTTATGGCACAGGGCTTGACACACAGTAGATGCTCAGTAATTGGTAATTTCCTGTCCTTTCCCAGCTTTATTTGGTACAGTAGCCATACAAAGAAAATTTGTGATCTCTCCTTGTCTTTCAGAAGCTTATTACCTACTAAGTAATAGGATATCTACACAGAAGCAATTCAGATATAAGCTTTTTAGGAAGTAGAAAGAAGAAAGTAATTTTCCAATAAAGGGAACAGGACTTAGCTAAAAGTCTGCTTTTATAATTAATTCTGACCATTCTGAGAGTAAAAAAACAAACAAACTCATTTGTGGAAAAAAATTGTTGGTAGGCATTTAGTGGGTGAGAATTACTCCAGTGTAGTACGTTACTTGTTCTCTATTGTTGATTTGATTGATACTCTCTAAAAGCAACTCTCTTCAAAGATGATTCTCTAGAGGAGTCAGGATGATATGAATAATGAAGATAATGAGGATTATATGTATCTAAATGACAGTAAAATAAAAACAATTTTTACTTTAGGTGTTAGAATGATAATTTGCTTTGAAGAAATAACTTTAGTTTTCTCCCTAATAGTTCCAAATTATAGATATTGAAAAGAGTTCGGAAAAAAAAATGATTTTCAACATACAGCTTAACACTAACAAGTGATAAATTTCAAACATACATGTATAGTGAATAATAAAATGAACCACCTATCACCCACATTCAACAATTAATCAAAATTTTGATATATTTGCTTCATCTATCTTCTTTATCTTTTTTTCAGCCTCTCTGTCCATCATCTGTAAATAAGAAAGCAAAACCCCACTTATCATTTCACCCCTGTATACCTCAGTATGCATCTCTGAAAATTATAGGTATTTTCTTTTTTTTAGGTTTTATTTATTTGTTTGAGAGAAAGAAAGAGCATGAGCAGGGGGAGGGGCAGAAGGAGAGGAAGAAGCAGACTCTCTGCCGAACAGGGAGCCTGATGTGGCGCTTGATGCAGGGCTAGATCCCAGGACCCCAGGACCCCAGGATCACAACCTGAACCGAAGGCAGACAGACGGATGCCCAACCAATTGAGCTACCCAGGCACCCCTAGGTATTTTCTTATGTAAAAACAATGCTGTGATCAAATTTAATATTTCTTTGGTATTATCTAATCATCATTTCATAGTCAGATTTCTTTGACTAAAAAATGTCTTAAGTTTCTGTTTTGTAGCTGGAATCCACATTTCTGTTCACTACCACTGTCTCAAAGACAAGCTTTTGGTTATAGGGTCGTTGAATGAGAGAAGTACAAATAGCTCTACACAAATCCATCCCCACATTTGAGAAATAATTTGAAGTACAAGCTCTGCTGACTGGGCCCTTAGCTTTATCTTTAAATACAAAAATGGTACCATTCACTAAAATCTCAAATTATTCATTTGCTCTGAGAAGCCTCAGAGCCAGAGTACTTGGATTTGAATCCTGGCACCATCACTTCGTAGACATATGACCTTAAGCAGGTTACTTAATATCTCTCTGCTTCACTTTCCTTGCCTATGAAGTAAGAGTATTAGAGATTTATAATATACATTTGCAAATTAAAGACCCTAAAGAGACCTTTTATAAAGAAACCTATGTACTTTGTTTAGCTTATCATGTTTCCTAAACTTATTTTATTGCAGAATTTTGTAGGGGAGGAAAGTCTACTGTAGATGGTTAAGACTGGAACATATGATAATTGATCCCTTAGTTTACTCTAATGTACATGTTGAACGCTTCAGAGCAGCTCTGTCCAATAGAAATACAATAAAGCCACATATGGAATTTTAAATTTTCAGATAGTCACGTTAAAAAATAGTAGAAACAGATGAAATTAATTTTTTTTAGTTTGAAATAATTATAGACTCCCTGTTACAAAAATCATACGTAGAATCCCACGAACCCTTCCCCCACCTCCCCCCCTTCCCCCAATGATGACAACTTATGTAACTAGTGTAGTGTCAAAGCCAGAAAACTGACATTGGTACATGTTTTATTAGAAACTATGAGACTGGGGCTCCTTGGTTCTCAGTTAAGTTTCAGCTCAGGTCATGATTTCAGGGGCCTGGGATCAAGCCCTGCATCCAACTCCACGATGGGCTCTGTGCTCAGTGCAGAGCCTGCTTGTCCCTCTCCCTCTGTTCCTCCCTGTGCTCTCTCTCTTTCTCTCTCATCATTTTTTTTTAAAAATCTTAAAAAAAAAGAAACAGACTAATACAGAGTGGCTGTGCCTTTTTACATTTCCATCAGCAGTGTATGAGACATCTGGTTTCTACACATCGTCGCTTATATTACCATATTTTGTGTTAGCTGTTCTAAAAGGTGTGTGGTTATAACTTACTGTAATTTAAATTTGCAGTGAAACTATAAGAATATATTTTAACCCAGCATATCCAAAATATTATCATTTTAATATATAATCAAGATAAAATTATTGATCTATTATATATTGTTGTACTGAGACTTCAAAATCCCATGTTTTATACTTAAAACATCTCATTTCCGACTAACTATATTTTTTAAAGTTTTCATTTAAATTCCAGTTAAAATACAGTGTAATATTAGTTTGAGGTGTACATTAGAGTGTTTCAACACTTCCATATAACACCTGGTGCTCATCACACCGACTAACCACATTTTAGCTGCTAGTGGCTACCATATAGGACGGTGCAGTCCCAGAGCAGCAAGAAGGAGGTAACTAACCTGTAGTCAAGTTATTGAAAAGTATGTATTTTTTCTTTACAGGAAATATAACTTTTTAAAAAATCTTTCACAGGAAAGGAATAACAAAACATGCTATTAATCACCATCCTCTTCCAGAGCAACTGGATGAAATTTCTTCTACCAATGACAGCCATGAAAAAGATACAAGTTCCCAAAGGTAATAAGATAAAGTGTACTCATTTGCTTATTACACTTGATAATGGCAAAAGTGTTTTTTGGCTTAGGCTCGATATCTAGTCTTGTACTAATGAAACAAAACAAGAACTTTTATCACATTTTCAGTACCATTCAGTTTTCATTCTGGAACAGCTATTGGAAACATCATACTTATAACCCTTGAAAAGTAGTATTATGAGTTAAAAGTTAAAAGCCAAGACTCAGAAGGAGTCTAACATCTGATTTTTATTTATTTATTTATTTATTTAAAGATTTTATTTATTTTTTGACAGAGAGAGAGAGACAGTGAGAGAGGGAACACAAGCAGGGAGAGTGGGAAAGGGAGAAGCAGGCTTCCCGCCAGGCAGGGAGCCCTATGCAGGGCTCCATCCCAGGACCCTGGGATCAAGACCTGAGCTGAAGGCAGACCCTTAACGACTGAGCCACCCATGTGTCCCTAACATCTGATTTTTAATTCTGGTTCTGCCACTTATTAGCTGGGTAACAGAGGGTAAGTTACTTACCAGATAATAGTGTCTCTTAAAGGATGTTGTGAATATAAATGAGGTAAAGTATGTAAAACTTGGCACAATGATTGGCATATGGTAAATGAGTAAGTATTAGCTGCAGTTATCATTTTAAGAAACAGCATACTGTAATGTCAAAGAGGGTTCTGAGAAGCAGTGTGGTATCACAGAAAAATTATAGTCATAAAAGCTAATTTCAAAACCTAGAACTCAATCTCAGATTGTCTTTAAAATGGGGTTAATTGGGGTGCTTGGCTGGCTCAGTTGGAAGAGCATGCAACTCTTGATTTTGGGGTCATGAGTTTGAGCCCCACATTGGGTGTAGAGATTACTTAAATAAATATAACTTAAAAATTTTTTTAAATGAGGTTAATTGAGTTCTACATCACCAGGTTGTTGTGAGGATAAAATGGGATTATATCTGTAAAAGTGCTTGGTAAATTGTAAAAGTGCCATATAAGTTCAGACATTATTCATATTTCTGAAATGTCTTTAGTTTTCAAGGGTAGATGTTGTAAGTGGAATGTTAAAGTATTTGTTGTAAAGTATGACTAGAATTATTTAGAATCACTGTCATCAGTTCTATAGGAATTAGACTTTTCCATGATGCTTAAATGTTAAGTTCTTCATTTATTTTTGCTTCTGTGGATATATTTGTATGCATGCTTGTTACCTAGTAAACTGCTGAGTAGTTACTGCTACAGAAACTTGAGGAAGTATAAGAATTTTTCTGTTTTCTCTCTTCCTTCCAAATTGTGCATTTAGTGAGTCTGACATCACACAAGAATCACCTTTTACATCAGCTGACGCTGGGAATTCAAGATCTGCTTTTCCAAGCTATACAGGCACAGGGATCTCTACAGAAGGCAGCTCGGACTTCTCCTGGGGCTATGGTGTGAGTTGTATGTTATTGGTCTGATGGAGTGCTTGGGAGGCTATTCTGGGAGTTAGGATTTGTCAGTTTTGTCAGTATATTTCATTCCTTCACTCTGTGAAGATTGGTTCTTTACATTTTAATACTTCTTATCAGTTTTTACCCTCTTTCAGTATTTGCTTTGTTTTATGGATACAGGGAAAGTGGTGTGTTCATGGAACTGAGAAAAGGTCAGTGTGGTTGGGGGATGGTATCAGGCAGAGAAAGCATAAATGAAATCAGAGAGGTAGGCAGGACTAGATGATATAAGGCCATAGGAAAGAATATAAATTTTATCCTAAGGGAATTAATTAATCTGATGGCTTATTGTGAGGTTTTTAGTGTACTAACTATATATTTCCATTAGTTGTCTCTATATTGCAGTTAGTACTTCTTTGTAAGTTATGAATGTCATACAAATGTTTCCCTTTCCTTTGCTTTCCTTTTGTTATTTACTGTGTAGCAGATTTTTTTAACGATCAAATATTACCATTTCACTTTTGACCTTCATTTCTTCTACTACATCTTTCTACTACCTTCATTTCTGTACTAGTCAGGATTTTATCTTTAGAAAGATGGAGTATTACAGTATTCTTCTTAATAGCATTTTATAGAATTTTGTGTTTATCTTTTTAACTCACCAGACTTTTTTCATAATATATGGTATGAGGTATGAATTTTTTATGCTGTTGAACCTATTTTGTTTGAGCCCTTTTTCTATATTTGATTTAAAATCATGTAGTTTTCATTGTAGTTTTAAAATATTTAGGGAAAATTTATTGTTCATTAAACAATAAATATTATTTAGTGTTTGTGTCCTCTTTACATCTTAAGCTGAATTTTATTTTCACTTGCACCAAATTTTATTAAAATATTCATCAGGGATTTAATTGGTCTAGCATTATAACTTTATATTAAATTAGGGAAGGTGTAGAGAGAATTAAAATTTATTGAGTATTCAGTAGATGCCAGGCACTGTGCTGAATACTTTATATACACATTTCAGTCATTTCTCATCTTAACATAGTATTCTAGCTAGAACTATAGTCCTTTTATTTAGATCTTCCTTTAATTCTCTTTATCATTTTATTACTTACTTTGAGTAAAATCTCTTATTGTAAGTTACAACTGATAGTAAAATTGAAGTTAGTATTTGTACATTTTATTTACTTTGGAACTGTCTTGGTGTTTTTCTTCCTTTCAGTTTAATTAATTTAGCCAAATTAATGGCTAAATATATTATTTATAATCCTGGAGTTTATATTCTAGGTTTATTTCTTTTAAAATAGTCTAAAATTAAAAAAATATTCTAAAATTTAAAGTTAATATAATGATGTGAAGGAAGACCTTCCTTTTCTATCCTAATTATATCTATTATTAAAAATTTTATAGCCAACAGTCATAAAAGTAGCTAACCCAGTTCTGTTCTATTTTAGCTTTATATGCTTTGGGTTGATATTTTTTTTAATAATTGAGTAAGGTTTATTCTAGGAATACAAAGATGGGTCAGTACCTGCAAATGTAGTATATTTAACATCGATAAATGAAAAAATACGATCAAACCAATAGATGCTGAAAAAGTATTTAATACATTCAAAAACCATTCCTTATAAAAATTCTCAGTAAGATAGGAGGAAACCCTTGAGACTTGATGACTGTTTGCCAATTGAATAGGAAATATCAGTTTCAGTGTCAAAGCACTAAAGTTATTTCCATTAAAATAAGGAATCAAACAAGAATTCTTTATTAAAAAATTTAATTGATTCCTTTGCTAACTTTGTACATTTTAATTTTTATTTTTACATAAAGTTTGTCATGTACACTATTTAGTGCCAGTTGTTTTTCCACTTAACAGTATATTTTGAAGAATATTATAAAAAATTTACTTGTTCTTTAATATGGCCTCATATTCATTGCTTTTACCAAAAAAAATGCTGCATTTATAACACTGTACATACACTATTTTACATAAATGTGAATATATCTGAGGATAAAACTTTTAGAGGTGGAATTGCTTGTCAAAAGACACTTTTGTAATTTTGAAAGCTGTTGCCAAGTTGTTTCTGTAGAAGTTATTCTGATCTGCAGTCTCACCAGGAACATATATGGAAGGGCCTATTTTCCTATACTCTTGACTAAAACAGTGAATTATACTTTTTAATCTTTGCCAGACTTTTTAGGTTTTAAAAAAAGGTATCTGATGCTATTGCATTGGTTAGAAGAAAAAATTTGCATACCGTGTGTGTGTGTGTGTGTGTGTGTGTGTGAGAGAGAGAGAGAGAGAGAGAGAGAGAGAGAGAGAAATGGCACCCAGATAAGATATAGGCAATCAGCACCCTACGAGGCTCCTAGATGCCCTCTCTCAACCCCAAAAATAACTGCTATTCTGACCTTTGTCACTAGTTTTTTTTTTATTTTTGCCTTCATATAAATGAAATCATATAATATGTATTCTTTGTGTCTGGCTTCTTATGCTCAGCATTATGTTTGGTGAGTTCATACATGATATTGCACATATTTGTAGTCTGTGACTTGCCTGTTTATATTTCATATCCATTTATTTTTATTTTTTTATTTTCATATTAATTAATAGGAGTTCTTTATCTTTTAGATTAGGGGTCGGTGTACTTTTTTGAGAAAGTAGAAATATTTTAGACTTTGTGGGCCCCGTCAGACCCTCAGCTCTCACTGTAGTGAGAAGGCAGCCATAGATAATGGGTAAATAAATGGGTGTGACTGTTCCAGTGAAACTTTATTTACAAAACAGGCTGTGGACCAGATCATAGTTTGCTGATCACTGTTGTAGATGTGTATAACAGAGACTGTCAGATACCTACATTATATCCACTCTCCCCATAGAACTTCAGGTATTATACCCAGTTGAAAATTTATTTCTCAGCCTCTGTTACAGGTAGTGGTAGCTAATGAATTGTATACAAAAGTCAGGAGATAGAGCTTTCTAGAATGCCCTTTTTTTCCATTTTACCCCTTTTTTCCTGATTCCTGCCTGGAACATGGAACTATGGCTAAAGGTACAGCAGCCATCTTGGACCATGAAGTGTCACTGAGAATGGAAACAACAGAAGAAACTAAGTCCTTGATGTCCATGGAGCCACTATATCAGCTCTTTAATGCCTACCCATAGACTAATTTTTTTATGAGAAAAATAAACTTTTACTTTGTTTAAGCCACACTTATTGCTTTTGTTAGTAGTAGAAATTGTACACTCATCTTTTGTTAAATATATTACAAATATCTTTTCCTAGTATGTGGCTTTTATAACTTCCATAATTTTCACATTTAAGTCTATAATTCACCTGAAATTGTTTTTTGTTTAGGATATACAGCAGGAACATAATTTTCCCATATGGATAATGAATTTTTTTAGTACCATTTACTGACTAGTTCAGGATTTCTGAGCAGGGGCATTTTTGGCGTTTTAGGTGTGGCTGTTGTACAGAAATGTTTCATACCTAGCAGGATGTTTAATATTCACGATCCCTTCATATTAAATACCTGGAGCACCCCCTAGTCATTGTGATCACACATACCTTTTTCAACTCTTCCAAAGAAGGTGGTGTCATTTCCCAGAGAATCACTGCATCCTTTCCCCACTGCTCTGCTACGCTGCCTATGTAATAGATTAAGTTTTTTAAAATATGAAAGGGTCTGTTCTGTCCTAAACTCATACAACTGTTTTTTTTTTTTTAAAGATGTTTATTTATTGAGAGAGAAAGAGAGAATGGTAGAGAGCATGAGAGAGAGGAAGGCCAGAGGGAGAAGCAGACTCCCTGCTGAGCAGGGACCTGATGTGGGACTCGATCCCAGGACTCCAGGATCACGACCTGAGCCGAAGGCAGTCGCTTAACCAACTGAGCCACCCAGGCGCCCCATACAACTGGTTTTAAACTGTAGCTTTATAATAATCTAAAATATCTGGTAGGGAACTCTTACTGCATTGTTCATAATTGTCTTGGCCAATGCTTGTTAGAATCTGATTGTTAAATTGCATAGGTCAATTTGGGGAGGACTGCCATCTTAATGATACTGAGTTCTCCTATTAATGAATTTGATATCTAAATCTTTTCATTCTTTTTTAAGTTTATTTATTTATTTGTTTATTTATTTAAGTAATCTCTACACCCAACATGGGGCTTGAACTCATGACCCTGAGATCAAGAGTCACATGCTCTTCTGACTGAGCCAGCCGCGCTCCCCATAGATCGTTTCATTTAATATCAATTTCTTTAATATCTTTTAATACATTGTTTTAATTTTGTCCATAAAGGTCCATTTGTTGAAGACGTATTCCTAGGTACCTTATATGGTACAATATTAAAAATTACATTTTTAATCTATTTATTGCTGTTATATAGGTGTACAGTACCTGTTTTTCAAGGGAAATGAGTTCTAGGATAATGTTGGCCTCTGGCAAAAGTTTATATTCTTTGTCATATTTTTAAAACTTCTGATATTTTACTTATATGTTAATAGATTTCTCATCTATTTAATACTAGATTAAACTTCCCCTGGATTTCTTTTTTTATTGTGATATTCACATAACATAGAATTCACTCCTTTAAAGTGAACAGTGAAGTGGTTTTTAGTATATTCACAAAGTTGTGCAACCATCACTTCTGACTAATTTCAGGACATCTTTCTCACCCCCAAAAGAAGTCCATACACATTAGCTGTCACTCCCCAACCCTCCAGTCCCTCAGCCCTCTGAGAACCACCAATCTGCTTTCTGCCTGTGTGGATTTGCCTATTCTGACATTTCATATAAATGAATCATACAGTATGTGACCTTTTGTGTCTGGCTTATTTTACCTCACATATTTTCAAGATTTAGCCATGTTTTATCAAGTATCAGTACTTCTTTTTTTATTGATGAATATAATTCCAAAAATACCAAAATTTTGTTCATCTCTTCATCAGTTGATGGACATTTGGGTTTTGTTTTTTTACTATTATGAATAA